GATGCCACGTTGGCCAGCTGACTAGGTTGGAAGTGGATGCTAAGGGAACTGGTATCTTGACCCGTCGTATGATCAGTAGGGATGTCAACTTCTTGAGAATCCATGTCGACACGGTTGGGAGACTCACGTGCCACATTATGAGGTTCATCAGAGTCGGTGGAGGGCGCATCGTCCGAGTCGGAGTCATGCACCTTATTTGCCTTGCCAGCCTTGTCATCTCCTTCCTCACGGCCACCCATGTCGGAGTCCTCAGAGTCATCACTCAACTCAACGGGTTGTGACTAAAAAAAATGGGGAAAGAAAAGTTTCAAGTTAGTATAAGAGTCCTCTACGAAAAAAAAATATACTTGAAGGGTTCATTTGCTAAAGAAATTACCTTTTTCAATGGCTTGGTGGGAGGATCGCTTTCTTTAAGGGTTGTGAAGACAATGATAACTAATTAGAAGCGGTCATTAACTATAAAAAAAAGGGAGATAGAAGTTAAGACACATACCTAGACGACGCTTGACCGGGGGTTTGGATGTTTGTACCCTTTTTCCGTGACTTGAAGTTGGAGCCTTCATAGGAATGGCCGCCGGAACATTCTGAATCAATCCTTGTGCTATCATGATCGGATCACCATCAAAGAGGGCAAGGGTTTCCTCCTTGGGCGGCCACATCTTCTGGAAGAATCGGGAGGTATGTTTCTCCGTATGTTTGAAGAAACCGGGATTCACTGATTTTATGAGACCATCTTGCCACAACTTCAAATCTTGTGTTTCTTCATTGCTTAAGTGTCGACGACCGGTAGGATCAGCGAGTTGAGGTGAATGTGGCATGGTCAATGGCCATGCTTGAATAAGGCCAAATTGGCGCGACGCATAGTGTGGGTTGTAGACCTCAGACGTGGGGTTCTTGGCGCCGATCGGGGTGAAGATTAAGTCCCGTGGTTGCAACCATCTCTTCCATTGGCGGGCAAATCTTTGGTAAGACGTAGAAGGGCTTTCAGGTTTCTCTTTGAAAGTAGTGATGAAGGAACGAGCCCCAAGGAGACGCCTTCTGAAAGGGGCAAATGTAGGTATCACCTTAGCCCGATAAAAGTAGGAGAAGTGATCAACAAAATCTCGCCCCAGGGGTTCAGCCTCAATGAAGTAATGGCAATAGGAGTCATGAAGTTTTTTGGGATCGTATTTCTCCAAGCCCATCATATATTTGCGCCGGGAAGGAAAGTATGCATAAATCCACAAGAGCATTAGCCATAGAGGACCCGAGCCATTAGGGGTGGCACCAGTGACGAGGTGGTGATGAAGCGTAAACATGCCGTGGTAGAGATAAGCGAGTATGAGTTCGGCAAATTCAGAAGGAGGATGTCCCGCAGCAATCGTGTACGAGAGTTCGGACAGAGATTGGCGAGGGGTACCTGAACTCGAGCAGATGATGAATTTGTAGAGCCAATAGTGGATAAAGGCAGCACGTTCTTCCTGGGTCACGGGGGCATCTTCGGCAGCAGGATGGTATTGTTGGCGCAGAGCGGTGAATGATGGCTGCGAAAAGGGTGGTTGATGCGCAGGAAGATCAATGGTTGCGTTGGTTGCCGATTCGAATGACATACCAATTAAGGCAGTGAGGTCCATAAGGGTGACCGTCATGGCTCCGAGCGGGAATACAAAACAGTTGGAAGCGGTGGACCAGAAGCACAAAGCTGCTTTGAAGAGCTCACAATCAGGTTCTCGAATCTCCGTGCATAAGGATAAAAGCCTCCAAACCCCAGCACTAGCCCACAGTCGAGTTGTTGGCACATCCTCCAGAAGTCGCGTGAACCATGCATTATAGCCGGCATCTTTCTGAGGCCAGGATCCAATGGGTTTCTTGCGTCTTTTGTTATGAACGAAGAATGTTGAGGGTGGGATCCTCGCCTTGTATAGTGGTCTTCCATGCCCAAGTGGATAACGGTTTAGACGATTCACGACATCACTTGTGGATTGGACAAAGTAGGGGCCATGCCATCCATCCCCATTCTCGGCCACTTCCAACGTTTGCATATATACCCCCTTCTCTTTTGCGACAAGGTCGAACTCCGCTTGATATGCACGTATGGATTCCGGCAGTTCTTCTTGCGGCTGTTCTTGCTCGATTTCCTCCTCTTGGTTAGACATCCTACAAAAATCACAAGGTATTGACACTGGTTATAAAAAATATGAGAGGTTTGGGCTAACACGTAAGAAGCAGGATACCAACGGTGGCCATAACAATAGACAGAGCATGCATGTTCATATATATACATGTATCTATAAAAAAAAGGGGGGGAGCGAGCATGGAACTAAAACAATGGCCTAATGGCCATATATATATATAAAATAAAATAAAAAGTAATGCCATTTGGTCATGCACACAGGAGAAGACATAATGGCCATATAAAAAAATAAAAATAAAACACAAACAATAATGAGTCGGCGGTCATGGATAGTGAGAAGGGGTTCTCACCTTATGAAATTGTTGATGGTAGCCGGAGGTTGCAAATATGGTGCTAGAATTTGAATTGTGATTTCGTATGGGTTGTGAAGAATAAAGCCATGAGAACAACTCTATTTATAATAGAGATTGACAATATCTTTTCTGTTATGGAACGGATTTGGTGGTAATTGAATCCCATTAGGAGAAGGAGATTCGATATCATTATCCAATTGATATGGGGAAATATAAAAAATAAAAATAAAATAAAAATTGTTGCCGTAGCCTAGTAGGACATGGAGCCGATCAATGGTGAGGCTGGCTAAGGAAGTTAAAGGGCATACGGCAGTCGTGTAGGGAACAAGAGAAGAATCATTGTTGGCTGGAGCAAATAACTGATCGGTATTGCTTGGGCAAGTCTCCCGATCGGAGGAGTTAATTGGCCACATGCTTATGTTTCAAACTTGAAAGTTTCACGGTGCCACAACGGCAAGTTAATCGCAAATGGAAGGTTTATTTGGCCAAAGACTACAATTATTGCATGGCCATGGGGTTGGTTCACGCTACATCATGATCACTCAATCCTCGCTACATCATGATGGAAGGTTTATTTGGCGAAAGACTACAATTATTCTGAAACGATGATCTCTCAATCCTCGCTACATCATGATCACTCTTGAAGAGCTGCAACTGCAAGCATAACCCCTCCTTTCTTTGTCATTTCTTGATGCCATAAAATCTTTTCTTATTTGGTTCTGATCTGTTCCCTTGGTTTGGCAGCGGATGGAGCCGTCCCTTGCTCATCTGATTTTTTCACTGTGAAAGTTATTATATATAGAGCAAAAGGAAATAAAAAAAAGGTAAACATGTATTAGAAACCACATTCCATAAAATTATAAATATGTGGAACCAAAGCACACCCTAATTATTAATAAATAATAAAATAAACACCCACCGGTGGTACTGGTTCCGTTAATCGCAAAAACGCAGTCCGCCGGATCATCGCAACAGAAGGTACAGCCGTCAGATCCCCACTCACAACAACAGGTGACCCAACAAACGACGAGTATTGTTGCTGTTGGTGGCATTTGTTTTCCTGTCCGATCGAGTTCAGTAAAAGAGATCGATTAAAAGAAGAAAAATTTTATACAGACGGAAAAGAAATTACATCATAACACAAATTGTTATGATGACCAGAGAGAGAAATCGGAATTTTTTTTAAGGGTAAATAATTTGGAATTTTTAGAGATGTCCTAAGTGGCAATTTTGGATTTTGGAATTTCCTACTTAATTACTTAAAGATAATTAGTGACATGAAGTCAAAGTTTTTCTTTTTCTTTTTAGGAGTTCGATATCGATCGACCATTTTTAAAACATTCCATCGGTATAATGTGATTCGAGTGGAGAAAGAGAGTTGGTGAAGAGAACTTGCCTGGAGAAAGAAGCAGCTTCCTGGCAGCGACGATGGTGATCATCTGTTGACTGTTCTCGTCATGGACATAAGTTGCATCCATTTGCTTGAAGGAGCCAAAAGCACACATTACAAGAGCCAAGAGGAGGGCGAAAACAGCCTTCATTTCCGTTGTTTGTTTCAGATGCTGCCTACTTAATTAATGGGCTGTGTATATAGAGAATAGTATTACTCTTGGAAAGGAAGTGTGGGTGAGTCTTCCCTTGGATCCAATTAAGGACACTATTTATAGATCCAAGAAATTAGGTTATCGTCTGAAGAATATCGATGTACGTTGAGAGGGTTGACATATATGCCGTTTGATGCTCCATGGATTGGCTTCCCAAACCCCAAGGGAACTAAACTCATTCATTTTGTATCTAGCTTTATTCGTCACCTATGCCATTTTGATGCTCCATGGCTTCCCAACCTCAAGGTGAGATTATATCTATAATAAATTCTGGTATTCTTTTGGTGAAAATTTTGATATCATATATTTTAAATGATTTCGTGTAATTTTGGTAAGCTGGATGTGTTTTGATGAATAAGAGTTGTAACACGTGTACTGTTTTAATGGGAGTTTGAGTCAGTAGTTTTGTGTTTGATCTTACTCAATAACATGTAGATCGGTCTTTTTTCGATCGATAGAGTCACTAGTTCGTGAGTACAAATTTTTGTGGAGCTCTTCCACAAGATCTTTGTGGATTTCTCAATACTAATTTTCGCTAATTATACTTTGACATACTCTAACACATAAGATAAGAGTGTTAGGCACCGTATCTCCTCCCTTCCTCTAATACCTGAATTCTCTCCTCAAGTGATTCAGGTTGAAAAGTGATTTATAAGAGGCCAACTTAGCTCCTTTTCATCAAGAGTCCTCGCCCAACCAGACTCCACCCTTTTCACATATTGATTCCAAGGACAGTTACCAATCACATATTTGGAATATTGCTTCAAGCAGCAAATTAGCGAGTCAAGTTAACATACAAAGTTACAAACGATTAAACAGAGGACAACTTAAGGAGCGAGCCAAGGATCGCACTCTCTTCATATCTTGCTGGGTAGATGCGACAATTTGCAGCAACAAAAACCCAAAAGAGCCATTTCTCTGCCTCTTGCGTCTGCCGTCTGCAACCATTAATTTAACACCAAGTAGAACAGTAATTGATAAAACAGAGCATGTGCCAGAGTTGTAGTATCTGGAGCTCTTTGTTTACATAAACCAGGGAACCCAAAAACAAAATTTCATCAAAGACTCAGAAAATGTGTCCTGAACTACTTGAATTCTACATTGCCAGGTTTATTAGGCACATAGACTCTCTCATCATTATGCATTGCACTAATTTCCACACTGAACATTGTTGTTAGTAAATGGTATCGACAACTTTGTATCTGTATCTAAAGTTTAATGAGACAGATGATTCATCCTAAGAGGGGCTTCCTTTCTCCATTCTTCTTCACAACCAGTCGATCAATATATCCACGCCAACATGACTTTCCAACGTAGAAAAGAGAAAACATATGAAACATCACAAAGAAACTAAGCTACAGAGTTAGGAAATGGCAGGGCAACCCTCGACTTGGACGCCCGGCGCAGTGGGACACTTAGCCAACGTGCAAGAATCCCCATTTTTAAAGTTGATTTACAAATGTAAGTTTTTAAACTTTAAAGTGTAGATTTTGACTATACTTGTAAGAGAAAAAAACATGATTCTAAATATAAGCATTTTGAGGTAGAAATATAGAAGGTTAAACTTTTAAATTTTAAATAACGATTTTGATTACATGAATCATAGAAGGTTGTGATTTGTTCCGAATTAAATATAATACATTTCAGTTCTCGATTACATGAATTTTCTGAATATTGAAAATACCAAATTGCGATTCTAAACCGGATTCCGGCGGACTGAAATCACCTCTAGGTGGCTTCTGTAGAAAAATCGCCATGATCGAGTTGGGGCAAGCAACAGGAAAAAAGAATCGTGGAGAAGAAGATGCTATTACTACTGACAGGCTAAGCCATCTTCCGGACTCCATCATTCATCAAATCCTTTCGTTGCTCGACGACACCAAGTCCGCCGTTCAGACCTGCGTACTGTCCCCGCTCTGGCGATCCACCTGGAAACATGTCCCCGTCCTCACCTTCCATCGATCTTCCTTCGAGAAATACCCGAGCTTTTGCTGGTTCGTCCACAAAGTCTTGTCTCTCCGCAATCCCGCTATCGATGCCCGCAAGATCATCTACACCGACGTCGAGTGTTCGGAGCTGAGAAACCCTAAATTGCTGGCTAGGGTTATTCGCTACGCGGCTTCCCATGGCACTCAACATCTAGCGATTGACGTGTACACGTTTCCGATGGCTTCTCCGGACGAACGTTTCAGGTTCTCCCAGTTCTTCGCCCCGATTTTGAATTCGAGTTTCAAAACCCTAGAATTTGAAGGTTCCGTTTTCCTGGACCGTGGGTTGGGATCTCCTGGTTTCCAGAATGTGACTGCGTTAGAATTGGACAGCTGCCTGCTGGGGTATGATGCGGAAGAGGGATTGCATCCTGATCCCTTTTCTAATTTCCCCTGTTTGCAGAATCTGGTCTTGGAGAATTGCAACTATGACGCTACTTTTAACGACAGGAGTCTGAGGATCTCCGGGCTCAGTTTGCTTAGCCTCAAACTCGTCAACATGCATAGTAGAAACAAGATTGAAATATTTGCCCCGAAACTCAAGTTCTTCAGTCTCCGGAATTGGGGGCTGTACAGAGGATTCAATGGTATAAGCGTTCCTTCCCTCGAGCATGCCTATGTCAAATGTTATGGCTTGGACCACAGGAATGTAGGTAGAAAGGAATTGGTGGAGCGAGATTTGATCCCCTTGTTCCAAGCTCTGAGCAATGCGAAATCTCTGACGCTGCATTCCCTGACCATCTTGGTAATACTTTCTTTCGGATTAGTGAGCTTGCGCCCAATGTATGTGCTTCCATTCCCCAGGAAGTACTGGCTTACATTTGATGTCTATCTCTGTTCTGTTATAGTTACTGCATCAATTCTATGAGTTGCTGGAACAACCATGCCCGCTTAAGAGGTTGAAGTCGTTGATCGTGGATGGTGGCATTATACCTCACAAACTAATCGATTACTTCCTTAAAGGTACTTCTACTGCTAGAGAACACAATTATATGTCAAGCTTCGGCAGAACAAAGTAGTTGACATTCTTGCCTTTGTTTCTTACCCAGCATAACAATGAGTGGGTTGTTGTCTTACTTTTGCAGGTGATACGCAAACAGGGGATCACCCTGGGTTCTCATTCCTTAAAAGTTAAAATAACCCTTTAATGCTTGCCCATTTCGAAGAACTTAGCCATTACGAAGAAGAAGAACTTGAGGTAAGTGAGGCTGCTGGGATTCGGAACGAGGACGGTCCATGGTGCTGGTTGCCACGCAATGAATAATCCTTCAACTTGCAACTTGAAGTTGTGGCAGAACCAGAGCATCTTATAAGGGATGTCTCCCTTTGCAAAATATAAATGTTCGACTAAATGTGCACGGTTACATTTTTAGACCTGCCTTCATCTGCTTCAATTTGCCGCAACAAAAACCCATTTTTAGACCTGCCTTCATCTGCTTCAATTTGCCGCAACAAAAACCCAAAAGAGCCCATTGCTCTGCCTCTTGTGTCTGCGGAAAAAATTCCAAAATACACGTGTTTTTAAAAAAAAAAATCAAAATACACACGTTATAAAAACTTTTTTCCAAAATACACATGTTTGGGCATCATCGCTGTTGTCAACTGCAGTGACTGCATTCACCGAGGCAGACCAAAGCGGTGAATGCATTACCGCGGTTGACCGCCGCGGTGAATGCCTGATGTAACACTGAAACTTCAAACAAATGTAACTTTGCGCTCGGTTATCTGATTGTAGCGAAATTTTTTTTGATTCCATATAACTTTTCAAGATCTTTCAATCTGAAAGAAGACTTCATCCCATAAAAAATCATTTGCTACCCCGAACGAGCAATTTTTCGATTTTGACAAACTTTGGAAGATCATAACTTTGTGCTCCACAATCCGAATATCATGAAACTTTTTTTATTTTGCATAACTTTTGAAGTACTACAACTTTGATTATAACCATAATTTTGGAAAGTATGTGGATTGTGAAAAGTAAAGGCAAAGTTATTCCCAAAATCCCGTATACCCAAAAATACTTCTTCTTAAAAAGATTATTTCCTCGTCAAAGTTGTAGTTCTTAAAAATTTATGCGCAATCAAAAAAAACTTTACGACGTTCGGATTGAGGAGCTAAAAGTTATGGCCTTCCAAAGTTTGGCAAAATCGAAAAATTGCTCGTTCGGGGTAACAAACGACATTTTTTTGAGATGAAGTCTTGTTGCAGGTTGAAAGATCTTGAAAAGTTATATGGAATAAAAAAAACATTCGCTACAATCGGATAAAGGAGCGCAAAGTTACGTTTGTTTGAAGTTTCAGAGTTAAGTCGGGTATTCACCGCGGCAGTCAACCGCGGTGATGCATTCACCGCTTTGGTTTGCCGCGGTGAATGCATTCACTGCGGTTGACAACAGCGGTGATGCCCAAACATGTATATTTTGGGGAAAATTTTTATAACGTGTATATTTTGGGAATTTCTTTTAAGAACATGTGTATTTTTGGAATTCGTCCTGCATCTGCCAACTGGAACCATTAATTTATACACCAAGTAGAACAGCAGCTAATAAAACAGAGCATGTGACAGAGTTGTAATATCCGGAGCTCTTTGTTTACAAGACGAGAGAACGTTGTTGCATTGCACTAATTTCCAACTGAACGTTGTTGTTAGTAAATGGTATAGACAACTTTGTATCAGTATCCAAAGTTAATGAGAGATGATTCATCCTAAGAGGGCTTCCTTTCTCCATTCTTCTTCACAACTAGTCAATCAACATATCCACACCAACAGACTTCCCAACGTAGAACAGAAAGAAAAAAAAAAACATATGAAACATCACAAGGAAACTAGGCTAGCTACAGAACTGTTAGGAAATGGCAGGGCAGCCCTTGACTATGACGCCAGGTGCAGTGGGACACTTAGCCAACGTGCAATGGTCCGATGCGTCGAGCCCCCACCAGTCCGGGCCATAGATGTCCTTCGACTGGAGCGCGAAGAAGAGAAGAATCCCCATGAAGGCAACCCCTGCATCCATTGCAGCTGACAGTATGTAGGCATGTCTAGCCCACCATCCTTTGTGCCTCTTGTAGACGTAGTAGTTGAAGAAAAACCCGACCGCTGCCCAACTCCAGTAGTGAACTGGTCTCGCAGGCGGCATGCTGGCTGATGCTCCGAGGATCAGCGGCATGTGAATCAGCTTGATCCACTTCTTGTTTGGGAACTTGCGGGACAGCAGCCAAACCGGGACCGGAGCAAGCAACCCCAGCAGGAAGAACCAGTACTGCTCTCTGTAGATGCCTAGGTCTCCGAACATTCTTCGTGGCGACACCACTCCCCAGATGATCGACGCGCTGTAGAACACGTCAAATCCAGGGCACGTCCATGGACTTCCCTCGGGCAGGACGTCCAAGTCGCAGACGTGGGGCACGCTCTCGAGTATCCACCAAGCTGTGGCGAAGTAGACGCTCGAAGCAACTAGCGTACCAACGAGCTGCAACAACGTTTGGTTGGTCGATGAGATCGTGTGATTGATCTCTAATTAGTACAATGAATTGGAAGTATAGAGGAGTTTGATTTAGTTACCTGGACGATGAACATCGATTTGGGAGGGATTTTCATGTAGTGTCCGAGTTTGAAGTCTTCCACGAATGAGAGAGCTTGTGCCATGCTGATGTAGCCATAGGTCTTGAATGCCACATTGGCTAGAGGCTTTCCAGGATAAGCATAACCGATCATCAGCTCCGTGATCACGTTTAGTCCGATTTGCTGCAATTCGAAGCAGAATGTTATGGTTGTTAGAAGATCAGTACTCTAGAGAGAAACCAACAAGAATGTGAGACTGTTGTTCTAGATAGTTAGGCTACTTACATTGTTTGTAGTGGCCTGAATTATACCGATTGGAAGAGTGGAAACCATAGCAAGGACACAGGCAAAGATGAGTCCCCACCAGGGAAGTTGCAGTTGCTGCCCAAAACCCTCCACGGCATACAAAGCCATAAAGAAACTCACTATCAGTACAAGAATAAACCACCATTGTGGTACAACGTCATAGTTCTTCTTCATTATTCTAGTATGCACATCAGCAAATCGCGCTTTGCTTGCTGCTGTCGCCTTCTTGAATAGATCCACGATCACTCTGCCACGTCATAACAAAATAAGCCAAGGGTTCGAATCAATAACTAAACAAGTAAAAGAACACTAGAAAACCAATAAAAAGAAGAAGAAAAAAGAGAACTTACTGTCCATCAAAGAGGGCAACATGTGAAATGGTAGCAGTCAGAGTAGCGAAACTCAGCCCATACACAAAGGCAAAGAAGATGGAGAGATGGATCTTGCTGTAACCATCGTAAGCCGCCAAATCGATGTCGAAACTCTTATCATTGAGTATCCTCGTAATGTTATAAGGGTGCCCGGTACTGTCGAACGTCCCCGACGAGAAGATGGGGAAACGTTTCGCCTGATGAACGTTTCCCCAGTAAGCAATGGGCAGGACCACATAGATCAGCAGCACAAACCCTACAAACGAATTGACAATGGCATACAGAGGATTGGCAATCGGACTACCGAGGAAGCTAGCAACAGTAGCCCAATCGAGCCCGAAACTCGCAAGGCCAAGTCCACTCATCCCCGACCCAACCTGCTGCGCGGTAATGGACCGGCTCCACACCAGGCAAATCACCGATATGGTCGAAATCGAAGGCATGAAGTAACCGGGAAATGCATAGTAAGCAAAGCTGCAAATGAAGACAATGGTGAAGAATTGGAGCCTCGTGTATCCGCCTTTCGCCCTCTTCTCCTTCTCGTGCAGCGCCCTGAATAAGGAAACCTGGACCAAATTAGCCGGCCACCACATAAAAGGGGAGTCGACGAGGATTTTGCGGAAGAGCCCTGCCCATCCATAGCCGAGCAGCTGAGTTGTCTGTGCCAGGAGGAAAGCAGCACCAGGGTGGAGACCTCTCTTGTAGAACGCCTTGATGATTGTGATGATATTAACCGCGTATACGCCGCTCGAGCCGCAGCTGGCGAAGATGGTGATGAGAGCGTGCTCCTTCATGTTGAACGGCCCCGGATTCAGCGACCATGTGTAGTCCCAAAAGGGGGAGATTCTGAATTTCCTTGTGGGCAGAGTTGCGGCCATTAGCTTCCCCAATGGAAGCACCACGATTTGAGCCGAAACCGAGCCCACGAAGAGCTGGTTCTGACGGTAGCCGAAGAATTGGTTGACGAAGGAAAGAATTGCACAGGCTAAAATCCCGAGGACCCATGTCCGGAAAGTGAGGACCGGTTGGGTCGGGTCGTCGGTGATTGGCACCGTCAGCCGGACTTGCTCGATTGGGTTGTCGTTCACTTCTTCTTCCTTCTCATCGTCTGCACAGACACAAAGAATCAAAAATAAAAAATCAAACACCAACCCATTATGAAATCAATTGTAATCGACAAACCCTTTTAACCGTTTGCAAAAATGAAGCATGCTCACCAAGAACAATGCGCTGAGGAGGAGGGGCTGCCTCAACTGAGAAAGACATGTATTTTTTGGAGGCCCTCTGGCCTCGGATTCGTCGTCGATTGCAGAGAATATGTGAAATTTATGACAGAGAGTGTCGAAGTTAGATGTAATGTAGTAATGAACTGAGTGGTGGGAGGTTGTTAAATGGTGAATTGGACATGTGAAGAGGGATTGGAAAGGTGGGAGTTCTTTAATGGCAAAAACCTTTGCCAGAATATGTTGGTTGGAGGAGAGCGGTGTGCAATTGAATCTGCTATATTGTCGGGTTGGCAATTAAACTTGGTCAGTTGTCTACTTGCCTATCTTTTTCCTTCCTGTTTTGGGGGAGGATGAGTTTCTCTCCGCCCGCCATTAACGTCGTAATAGAGATACCACACCTGGTGAGGATCTCTCACAACTGTCAAAAAGGCGCCATTTAAGACCCACCTACATAAAAACTAAAACGAACCCGTGGTTTTTGATTCTTTCTCTGTGAATCTGTACCATATTTGCAACCAATTTCATTTGCTCTGTTTTCAGAATAACAAACAGAGAACCCATAATCAGTTATTAGTGGTAACTTAACTTCCTTGCATCTGTAAATCTCGGAGATTCTGCTGACCTTATCTAAAGAGGATTCTGGTAATGCTTGCTCCCGTGATTTCGGATTTTGTTATGATGATGGCCTTTTTTTTTTGGTTTTGAGATCTGGTGCGTAAAGACAGAACCTTGAGACGACTAGGAATGGATGCACTTGCAATTTGTTTAACATTATACGGCCACCCACCCCACCAATTGGCAGAGTGCAGAAAATGGCAGAGGGTCAAATTGCACTCTTTTTCTTTATAAAATGGAGTTTATTTTGGCTTTAGCAATTGTTTTATTTAGTATATGGAGTATCTTTATATAAATAACTCCATTTATTTTTATGAATAAAACAAGGTTGACTTGGACTTTCATTGTAGTGACGTGAGTGTGAAAGAAGAAGGGTAATGTGGAACTAGGGCAAAGCACACGAAAAATAGGATCAAGCAGATTGTGTCCCGTAGCTGCGTAGCATAATCTAATATCTCGATTTTTTTATTCTTTTCTAAACTCTCAACTCCTTAATTATATTAATCAATTCATATTTTAGTTTTTATACATTTTTTTGAAAAAAAAGTGTAAAGGATGCCCTAACCTGTTACATTAATGGTACAAGATTTAAAACCCCAACATATCATAGTTCGGTGCATGAATTTTGGCTCTCGTTACAATCTACAAGGTGGAAACTCCAAGTAGTAAAAAAAAGTCTCTTAACAAGATAATTGACGACATAATTACCTTCATAGTGCAAAATTCCCACTATCTATTGAGAATACTTTTTTATAACTGGCATGTATTGATTAATTAAACAAGTTCATGTGTTACAGAGCCATAAACTAATAATTGGGGTACTAAATAAATTGGAGGACGATTAAACCAAACTTCCGTCTCCTCTAGTCGACAATGCACTCTCGCCATCGCGTGAGTGCCTCATTTCCTTTCCTCCCCTAGAATCGCCAATGAACATTTCCATCCTCCCGAGCCAGCTCCCTGATTTCATCACAAATCCCCTCAACTTCTCAGATCGTAGTCTCCTTTCGATCGAACTTTTGAATCACCGATTTGCAGTGCGTCTCCATGAGCAGCAGCAGGAATTGGTGCGCTTTGATGAGCCTCAGTCCCCAGAGAAGGGCAAGTGCTTCAGCCATTTCCGGTGGCCACTTCGTCCTTGTACGATGAACCGCCGCCACCTGGAATTGCCCCTCATCGTCGCGGATAATCAGTCTGTACCCAGTCCCATCCTCATCCAAGATCGCAGCGTTTATTCAACTTGAAAGACCCCTGTGGCGGAGGTTCCCACCCTAAACGGGTCTTCACAAAGGGGACCTTCACTCCATGGATCTGCTGTTGTTGATATTATTCCAGGTAGGGCTGAGCCCTCGTCACCACTTCTCATTCCTCTAGCTTTGCATTGTTGAATAAATGGTTGTTTCTCTCTTTCCAGAGAAACCATAGGGTGATTAGCACGGCATATAGTTCTTCCTTGTTTGTTCCCTCGATTAGGTTAAAGAGCTATTTCTCGCAGTTTTTTCCTTCTCCCATCAAGAAATACTTCGCCAAATTGCTAGGTCTCCAAACTCGAGTTGCCCAGTCGCAATCCCTAGTTATGTGTTCTTGGGTTTCCACCAATCCATAGAAGGGACATTCATCATGTTCCTCTGGGATTCTTCTACTGAGGTTTGCTCCTGTAGGTAGTATGTTACTGCCTTATCACCAAACAAAACTCGAACCTTTGTAGGTAATTGCAGCGTCCATAGGTGTTTCTAATCGATTGGGACATAGCTTTCCACTTGATCACCCACCTATTTCCTCGTCCATTCTTTATAACCTGAACGAACTGAGTATTTCCCAAACTTCTCCTTGCCTCAGACCCTCATATCTGCCCTGGGGTGAAAAGGAATTGGAATTTGATTGATCTGGTCTCGATCTGTTGGTTGGAAGTTTGCTTGCAGAAGATTGCTTTTCCAAGATTGAGTGCCCTGATCAATTAATTTTGATAACATTTCAGTGATGCCCAATCCAGAAACTTGTGTCTGTACTCTGTAGGCAGCAGCTGTTGGGATCCAGCGATCCCACCATATTCTCACACTCTCCCCATCCCCTATTATCCACCTTGTACCCTCTCTAACAAGTGTTTAAGCTTGCATTAGACTCCTCCAAATATAACTAGGGTTGTTGCCTATCTCAGCTTCCAGAACGTCACAATGGGGATGATAATTGGCTTGAGTACTTGTGCCACTAGGGTGTTTGGATTTTGGAGTAGGTTCTAGACTTGTCTTCCAAGCAGCGCAATGTTAAATCCATGTAGGTTTTGAAAACCCATACATCTCTCATACTTTGGTCGACATAGCTTATCCCAACTCATCGAGTGAATCATCTTCTCTTCCCGTTTCTTACCCCACCAGAAACTAGCTATCATACTCTGAATTTCCTGGATCACTCCTAGAGGGATCAGAAACATTGACATGGCATAAAGTGTTTGCGCTTGTGTCACAACTTTAATTAGTATTTCTTTAGCAGCATTTGAAAGAAGCTTCCCTTTCCACATTTTGATCTTATTGCGCACTCTGTCAATGAGCTGTGACAACACAGCTTTCTTTGCTCTACCAATTACCGTTGGGAGTCCCAAGTATTTGTCATGATACATTACAGTTCTTATCCCTAATGCTTCAGCCATTTCCTTTCGATCTACCTTTGTGACATTCGTACTAAAAGACAGTTTAGACTTGGCAAGACTGAGTTGTTGTCCTGAAGCTTTCTCAATATTTGTAGAATATCCCTTAGCACCTCTCCTTCCTCCTTATTCTCAAAAAAGAATATCCTATCGTATGCAAAGAAAAGGTGTGGAATCATAGGGCCATTGCTACGCACCTTGATCCCTCGTAGTTTCCTTTCCTCCACTACTCTTTTTGTCAAAGCTGACATCCCTTCAACACATAGAAGAAACATGTAGGCGAGATAGGATCCCGCTGTCTTAGACGTCTCAAGGGCTTAATGATCTCAGTATGATGTCCATTTATCAAAGCTAAATAGTTTATAGTAGACACACATTGCATGATTAAATGGACCCACTCTTCATGGAATCCCAATTTTAGCATAATACCCTCTAAGAAACTCCATTCCACCCTGTCATAGGCTTTAGCTATGTCCAATTTGGCAATAAGGCACTCCATTCCACCCTGTCATAGGCTTTAGCTGTTGTCTGTGATGTTCCTCCCAGGCACTAAGGCACTCTGTGTTTGTATAATTACCAGATCCAGAATCCTCTTCAGCCAATTTGCAAGGACTTTAGATAGAATTTTATATAGTACCTTACACGGGGCAATAGGCCTGAATTCTTTTGGGAGCTTGGCTTCTGAGTCTTGGGTATCAATGCCAGTAAGGTGTGGTTTAGGGTGGGAGGGATTTGTAATGTTAGGAGGATTCGTTGAAGTTCCAAACAGACAGCATCCCCAACCACTAACCAGTTCTTTGGGAAAAAAGGGTTGGCATTCCATCCGACCCTGGAGCCTTAGTTGGTGCCATCATTTTTTGAGCTCCCCAAATTTCCTCCCTAGTGAAACGAGCTAGGAGTTCTTGATTCATTTGGGGAGTAATCTTAGGTTCCACAGCTGCTAGTACCTCTTCCATATTCATTATTTGTCCTGCTCGGTACAGTACTTTAAGGTACTGCGAGAAACACCCCATAATCTCCTCCTGACCTTTAAAATTTGTACCATTGTCATCTCGCAGCTCTTTAATTGTATTACGTCATTGTATATTCGAAGCCTTGCGATGAAAGAAACCTGTGTTCTTATCTCCCTCCTTTAACTAGTCCGATCAAGACCTTTGCTTCCACTTAATTTCCTCCAAACTTAGCACTTCATTCAGTTTCTTCTCCAGCACTCTACGTTGTAACAGAATCGCCTTGTTCTTTCTTTGTTTGGTAATCTTTTTTTTTTATAATGATAATGAACTTAAATTAAAGAGTGAAACCGAATGAAAGTAAAGAGAAAGAGACCCACAAGGAGTGGGCCAAGGTAAAAAGACAGAAAGACAACAGGAGCTACAACCTCCTCTCTGACGAGTAAAAATAAGAAGCGAAAAAAGACAAAGGAAAAAAGAGGGAAAAGAAGCAGGCCAGGAAGCAAATCACCCAGCAATAGCCTCCCAAAGAGTGAGGTGATCCTGAAGGAAGCGTGCCCTCTGCTGATTGTCAATCTTCTTATGCGCCGAAATCCAGTCAACAATATTTCTGGTGATCTTCTTGGTGACAGCCAGAGGAGGGCAACAAGACTCTTGGAAAAACCGCTGATTTCTTTCTTTCCACACAAACCAACAGATCCGCTAATCTTCTTGGCTAAAGACCTTTCAATCTTCCTCTTTCTTGCTTTAAGACTACCAAACGTTCTCTTGCTCCAGGTCAAGAGAGCTGTTTCATCGTCTTTAATTTTATCTTCTAAGGGTTTGTCAGGGTCTTTATTCCATTATGATTCTATAACAACATAGCACTCTTAATGGGTTATCCAATAAGACTCGAATTGGAAATGCCATCCTCATCTCACTCTGTCTTCCTGCAAATTCAGTTCCACTTTTATTGGCAAATGGTCAGAAACCCATCTGTCTAAGTGATAAACTCGAGCTTCTGGGAACCATTCTCTCCGAGCAGAATTTTCTACTGCTCTATTGAGCCGTTGTTCCAAGAAGGTTTCATCCACTCTCCCAATATCCCATGTGAACATATTGCCATAGTAACCTAAGTCTTCGAGCTGCCATTTGTATAATGT